GCGGGAAGGAAGCGGTACGGCTGCTCCTGTTTTTGGCGGATGGAAGAGTCTTTTATTTCAGCTGAACTGAGGTTGGGAGGAGGATGCGGCCCGCTCTGATGCTCCGTCTGCTTTCCCAGCAGATGGCCCGGGGCTGGCGGAGGCGGCCGGCGGCGGGGCGCGCAGGCTGCGCACGGCTTACACCAACACGCAGCTGCTGGAGCTGGAGAAGGAATTCCACTTCAACAAGTACCTGTGCCGGCCGCGCCGCGTCGAGATCGCGGCCTTACTGGACCTCACCGAGAGGCAGGTCATAGTCTGGTTCCAGAACCGGCGCATGAAGCACAAGCGGCAGACGCAGCACCGAGAGCCGCCCGACGGGGAGCCAGCCTGCCCGGGCTCCCCTAGAGGACCCCGGCGAGCCCGCTTCGGAACCCGCGCCAGCCCCGGCCCGCCTCTCCGCCCCGCGGGCGGGGGCGGGGAAGCCTGCTCTCACCCGTCCGAGGTCGCGCCAGGCCCCCTGGGGCGCTCCGTGCGCCCCCGCCCGTTGACCTCCTCGCCCCGGACGGCGCGGGGACGCCCGAGCCCCGGCTGCGCCCCTGCGCGGGGCCCGCGGGCTTGGAAACCCGAGCTGTTTGCCCCGAGGACGCCTTCCCTGAGCGGCAGGATTTCGCCCTTTCCTTGCCCGACCTCAACTTCTTCGCGGCCGACTCCTGTCTCCAGCTGTCCGGAGGCCTCTCCCCCAGCCTGCAGGGCTCGCTCGACAGCCCTGTGCCCTTCTCCGAGGAGGACCTGGACTTCTTCACCAGCACCCTCTGTGCCATCGACCTGCAGTTCCCCTAACCTTCTCCTCCCGGCCTCTCTGCCCCCCACCCCAGGGCCTCCTAGGACCCCCCAGCCCCCAAGTGGTTTAGACTTCTTTATGTATTTTGCTAAAATTCAGGTATTATTGAATTAGCGTTTAATCCACGTCCTTTCTTCTCTCTCTAAAATATTGGATACTCGGGCGTCTTTTGGAAACCGCAGAAAAATTCCGTTCGGTAGACTCCTTCCAACGAAATCTCAGGAATCATTACACTGTAAGGGGCGGGGCGGGGCTTTTCTTTAAAAAGAACTAGAGGAGCCTATTTTCCACTTTTTTTAAGTTTTAGGACGTAGATTATTTATTAAAACTCTTTAATAATAGGAAAAGGGGAAAGTATTTATTGTACATTATTTTCATAGATTAAATAAATGTCTTTATTATACGAACACGAGTGCTTGTGTTGGGACGCAGCCCCTCCCCCCGAAGCCCTGAGGCCGGCCTGACGCCCTCGGTTCTCCCGGGGCTTGGTCTGGTCCCGGGCTGGCTGAGTCCGCGTGGTACAAAAATGGCCCCACTTGGCCACCCACCGCTTCTCCTCCCGCAGCTCCGAGCCTGCAGGGAGGTTTGCTGGAGCCTGGGTCACCTCGCCACCGCCCCACCGCTGGCCTCTGGCCCCGCGCGGGTGTTCCGGGCCTCGGCTTGGAAAGGTGGGCGGTGCAGGGAGAGGTGTGCGGCCCACGGGAGAGGGTGCAAGGAGCGGAGGCCTCGGGCACGCGCGTGGGAGCCCGGGCCGAGGCCGCAGAGACGCCATGGAATTGGGAGGGGGCCCGGGGCTCCGGGCTCCTGAGCTCCAAGCGGGTGGAGGGCTGCTC